CGATGCGTTGATGGGCACGCCACCAAAAAAAAAAGAAAATCAACAACAACAACTTCGGGAAGAACGACAAATTTTCCAAATTACGCTACTATAATATAGAGAGTTAGGTTATTCTATGGAGCACGCCGTAGTAGAGGAACGGAACAGAGCGGACCAAGACAGCAAACCGCGGTCATCAACTACCGCTACCACTGCTTCCCATTGTTCATAAGAACACCCCGTCAGTTGGCTTTGAAGCCTAGTCTCCTCTATGCAAGAGTTCATTACGTGTATATTCCCCCCCCTCACCATCCAGTCATTGACGTCATGATGTCAAGAACGATGCCAAAACTAGTAAGCCACGGCGAGCTCACTATCCACATATACGATTATCTGAAGGCTAGAGCACCACCAGGTTCAACTCTGCGGATGGATCTCCCGCACCGCACTCAGGAATCCATGCCAACAAAAATGTCCGTACCCCCAGAAGCCTACTTTGAGACCCAAGCACGAGTGACGACCTGGACCGACGAGCTTGAATTCCTGGGGTACATTCTATGCGAGCTGATTGATGCCGATGGATTGAATGAGAGAGGATACCGATGCCATCAGGCAGCCGACCTGCCCGCTATAATCGACATTATTCGGTTGCAATTGAAAGATTCCCATGGCAGGCTCGCCACGGTCATGGGAGAAGATCAATTGAAAGCCCTCCGTCGATTGATGAGACAGGCGAAGCGAATCCGAAACGATATGGCGCATCATACCACTCAGAACGAGCACAAGCTGGGAAACCTCGAGGAAACGAAGCGGAGCTTGTGTGATTTGTTCGAGTGCGCTATCAAGGCAGTCGCATCGGAGCGTGGAATCAGCCAGGTTTGCTGCCCTCTCGAAACATACGTCCGACACTGGACTAAGAGCGCTGCTCGATAGATTACTTGGTCTCCGTGCTATCACATTTGCAAAACATATATCGAAGAAAGAGGGCCTCTGACAGTCACGATTCCGCTGAACGAGGAATCTTTGCTGTTGCTTCGCCAAAGAGCTCTTCAAGACCACGACATCAGTCAGAACGGGTTGCTTTATCGCCGTCCGAAACGCAAGGCAACTGAAGAGAGCCGCAAAAAGCAGCGAGATGACTATGAAGCCGCCGTCACCAGACGGAGGCAGAAGCAAGAGCGAGATCTGGCTATGCGATCCAGCCATCTGACTCGGAAGCTGCAAAAACTGGAACAAAGAATCCGCATGTCCCGGGAGCTTCGGTCCGCCCAGATAAACGTGCTAGCAGATCGCATGAGAGCAGAACAAGAAACGTTCCATCGACAGCGAGAAGAGATCCTTCAAAGTGGGCTGTTGCAGCCCGCCGGCCACGAGCCAATTTTGTTGATAACAATATTTCTGGCGGTCAGCTCCCCGCTCTGGATACCTGGTGCGCTCCTCTACCACATGTACAACAGATTCTCTGTCTAGCCACACACGCCAAGTTGATGTTCAGCCGTAAGGCCACGTTTCTCAAGTCTTGTGATATCGATACCAATCTCCTAAACACATTGGCAACCTACAATTCCTGTATTGACGTTTCGAACGGTAGTCTAATTAGCGGAATGGGAAGATAGTAATCAACATCTGAAATATCTGTTTCTTACAGCTATGTCCGATTCGGTTAGTTATAAGGCTTTGTTCCTGAAAGCGGGGGAAGAAAGAAAGAAAGAAACTTGAATACCAAAGGAGGTAGAAGAAGACACTGAGGGAGTAAGCCAAGAAAAGAGAAGGCAGGAGATATTAGTTTGTACTACTATGCCAGGAAAATATCCTTGGATCTATGGAAGATAAACCCGCATACCCCCTCCACATCAACAAATAAAAGCGTACAGGACTCCATACAACTCCGCTAAGAAAATACTAGCACCCCCCCCCTCCCCAACCCCCAACATCACCCATTCACCCTCCTCACAACCACCCAAGCAGCGCCGACCCCGACCAGCCCCCAAACCCACTTCCACGCACTCCACCCCTCATCACCACCATCACCGTCACCAACACTCCCATGCACCAACCGGCCCTGCACCCAGACCGCCCTGACGTTGCGATCATCCCCGCTCCACACCCACTTATGCACCTTCTCGACCCAGCTCTCCTCGCCAAACACATCGACATTACTGCCGACGCCGTCCGGCCCCCACAGCCCCGCCGGCTGGAACCGCCCCAGCCGAATCAACTGCGCATCCCAGGCCATGCCCAGCTCGAACCCGCCGATCAGATCGGGCAGATCGACGACGGCGGCGCCGCCGCGCGTGGCGAGGTACAGCGCCTCCTCGACGGAGACGACCCCGTCCTCGCCCTTTCCGTCTTCCTCTCCCTCGGGGTCCTTCAGGAACGGCAGCAACCGCGACACCAAACAGGCCTGCCGCACGCCCTCCAGCAACCCCACACTATACCCGCCGCTCACATCGCTGCCCAGCCCCACGACGACCCCGCCCCTCCGCAGCCAGCGGACCGGACAGATCCCCGACCCCAGCGCCGAGTTGCTCGCGGGACAGTGGCTGACCTTGGCGCCGCGGGCGGCGACGAGCGACCGCTCCGCCGGGGAGAAGTGCACGGCGTGCGCCAGGATGGTGCGGGGCGTGAGCAAGCCCGCCTGGTCGTACACGGCCGCGTAATGCGCGCAGGCCGGGAACTGCTGGCGGACGAGGGCGATCTCGTTGACGTTCTCGGCGATGTGCGTCTGGATGTGCAGCGGGGGGGAGTGGTGCTTGGCGAGGGCGGCGAGCCCCGCGAGAGAGGGCGGGGTGCAGGAGGGGGCGAAGCGCGGGGTGAGGATGGGTTTGACGAGGGCTTCTTTGGTGGCGGGGGCGAGGGAGTGGATGTGCGCGACGACGGCCTCGGTGTCGCGGAGGCTGGCCTCGGGGGACTCGTCGATCAGCGTGCTCGGGCACGTCGACGGGTTGTCCATGCAGACGCGGCCGATCAGGGCGCGCTGGCCGCGCTGGTGCGCGAGGCTGGCCAGGAGGTTCGTCGCGGGCACGTGGATCGTCGCGTAGTAGGCGGCGGTCGTCGTGCCGTGGCTCAGCGTCCGCGCGATGACCTGCGAGTAGGCGCGGTAGGCGGTGGGCGGGGGCAGGCCCGGCAGCGCGGCCGGGCTGGCGAAGGAGGCTTCCATCGGGAACGTGTAGGTCTGCAGCCAGTCGAGGAGGGTCGCGCTGCCGAAGAGCCCCGTGTTGGGGTACTGCGGGGCGTGGATGTGGGTGTCTGCCTTGTTGTTAGTCCGGTGTGCAGGATGGGCGGTCCGAAGACTTCCGGGGGAGAACCCCCGGACCCCCCTTTCTTTCAGCTTCCCAGCAACACTCGACCTTAAGTCTCAGAGTGCAGTACAG